ATATAACATTATAATATCAAATATTGGCACAGAACACAAACACAAAACTAAACAGTTTTATTGACTACTGGTATACTGACATATTGACAAGTCAAGTTTGTTTGTAGCCATTTGTTACAAAAACAGGATTTATAGGCTACAGATGTACTGTATATATAGAGTTTCTCTAGCTCCCAACCCTGTACACGCACTTGTGAATAGAGCATGATTAGTTTACTCTGTGGACGTGACTGCTTTGTAAACTCTGGGATATTGCGGTTTTTATTGGTTTGGTTTGTTATGGATGCAATAATAACTGTAATTAATGTTTAAAGTAGCAGATGCATCTGTGTCTCACACATAACATCACATTCAATGAAAAAATCAGAAGTTGAATACTCATGGGAGATAATTTCAAAGACAATTTAACACAAGTTTCTGTGAAAATTACAAACAACCACATTCTCACTCTTACCCGTATAGGCCAGTTGCTCTCTAGGTATGTGCTGTGAATCTAGAGGAATACAAAAATACTATGAGAAATACAAGATAATCAACTTGTACTTCATATGCATTGAAATATATACAAACAAAGGCAAAATATTGCTCCCTGGTGATGTGACTGGTATTAGCATTATTAGCTGTCAGAATCATCATGAAGTTCTCACATTTGTTTTTTTTGGCTTTTATTATCCAGAAAAGACGACTAAGTACCAGGAGAAAATGAGTCACAAACTATTTTCCCCACTCGATGAATAGTTTAGCAATATTGCCAAACATCTGATGCTTCTCAAATGTGAGAATCTGACTAAACAAGACATCTGATGACGCCAGGGCTGTAATGCAATGCTATGCTGTTTGTGTCACACTGGCGGCATTTTGGACCAAGAAATATTTCAAAACTCTTGCAACGTTACATAAATCCTGCCTAACCAGGTGTGATGCGCGCCCAACCTTACCTGAACCACGTGCCAGTGCTTGTGCCCCAGTAAAGTGCTGAGTCCCTGAGAGAGAGAGGAGTCGGGGTTGGGGGGGTGGTGCAGTGGGCTACCGTCACGTGGGTGTATGTGTGTGTGCGGGTGCGTGTCAGAGGTGCTGTTGACTTGCGTGGGGTCACCACAGGTCAGGTAGAGGCGGTCTTCACCGTGGAGCAACACCTGCTCCTGGTTACTCTGTGCGGCCGAGAGAGTAGCAAACAGAGCATGAATGTTTAATGTGTCTGCGTGTGTGAATGTGTGTGTCGGCACAAAACTGACGATGTGTTTCCTCCTACCGTGCAGGGGTTGACTGTGAGTGCACTCTTGATGAAGTGGAACTGCAGTATGCCAGCCTGCAGGGAGGAGTGAGGAGGTGTGACCATCTCCTCCTCCTCGTCCTGCTGCTGCTCCTCCTGCCTCCTCCTCTCCTGTTTGTTAGGGAGCACCCACAGGTGGTAGCCCTCTGCTCCCCAGCTCTGGAAACAGCAATTACATTTTGCATTTTGCTTTCCAACTGTATTATTTCAGTGAGGTTAATGATCTCTGTAACCTTACATCTCTTGAATGTGCTTAACAATTCAAGAGTTTTCATTTTATTTTTGATGTTAAAATGTAGATGGTGGGACAGTAATAAATAAATTCACTTACCATAGAGCTGATTTTAATGGGGTCTTTCTTAGTACCATCAGAACGATACCTAAGGGGACACAAAAATAAATAGAAAAAAGGTTGATAAGAGTTTACATTAAATTAAGTGTGTATGAGTCAATTTGTGTGTGTGTGTGTCCACCTACGCAAAGTCCTCTCCCAGAGTGCAGATGAGGTGAGCTCCGAAGACACTCCACAGCGATAGGCCACCACACTCCCATGTAACCATGGCAACGCTGTAGTCAGGTGACCAGCAGATCAGCTTGACTGGGCCCGTCTTGTTATAGATGTCTGGACAGGCAAAGAATGCAGAGAAGTTATAGGGACCCAGAAGGTTTGAGTTATAGTTGTATTTTCAAATGTTGCACTGGGAGTATTTTCTCATATAAGACACTAAATCAAAAGTTGTTATGCTGTTACAAGTCACAAGACAACCTGTGAAAATGATGAGACCTTTTTTAAATCCCATTTTTAATTTGTAAATACCTGCAATCAGATACAATAATATTTTACAACTAACATCACATCACTGCCTACTGCAGATACAGGGAACAAATTTAAGACTTTTATAAATTAAACATTTTGAGGAAACTAATTACAGTTAAAGACTTTTCAAGACCTGCACATTCATTGTTAGAGTGGAGGTGGGCCTACATGCCACTTCTCCCACTAGGGGGAGCTGTGGCTTTAGGGGAGATTGCAGGAGTCTGACTTAAACAGATGTTTGACTAAGGGGAAACACAAGCATGTGGACCCATGAGAGAGACAGCTGAAGGAATGCAAGTTATCTCAAGGAGGAATTTGTGCAGGGGTATGACACAGAGAGACAGAAGAAGAAAGGAGAGGGACGAAGTGGGGGGGAAGAGAGAGACGGGTGCATATGGGTGATACCTGGGTAGTGTTTTGGGGTGAGTTCCAGTTTGTGGGAGAGCTGCATGGATCCTGTCGTGGTGTCTATCATGTACACCAGCACTGAGCCGCTGTAATGAAAAACAAGCACACTTTAACAGCCATAACCTGTTGCCCGTGTGAATATGAGAAACAGCTACTTCAAGGATCAGTGCAATCGGGCTTCAGTACAAGTGACCTGCAGCTGTAACTTTGAAGAAATAGCTCCAAGCTACACTTAAATGCTTTGAACTACTCCCCTGTCTGCATGTCTGTGCAGGTGACTGGGCATTCATACGAACACACACACACACACGCACATACATCTCTACAACAGAATGAAGGTCATTATTTGTGTTGTGTGTGATTTCAACTGGTTAATATAACTTCTTCACCGTACTGACATGTTAGTTAACCTCAAAACTATAACATCACGTGTGTCCATGTTGTTTCAGTGAGGTAAAAACCATATAAAAACTGGTAGAAATAGATGAACAAGGGGAGTAGGGTGCAATGAGGAAGAGAAATTCCTGCCAACCTGGCAGATTGCACAAGCACACACTAGGTAGGCCTCAGCAAACACAAACTAACTGATTCTCACAGTGGAACCACACCACAGGGACAACAATCAATCTCTGTAACACATGGATGCAAACAAACACACGCCCAAGTCGTCTTCCCATCACTGTATTGTAAAGATATGGACATGGAGACAGTTGCAGACGCGTACCTGGCACAGCCAAAGGCCATCAATCTGTACTTGTTGTTGACAGCCACACAGGTGCCATCAGTCACGTCTGCTGCCCAGACGCCCTGCAGCTGCTGCAAAAACACATGAAAAACATAATAAATTACAAATAACTGAATGTGTGTGTGATGTCAAAAACAGGTCAGCAGAGTGTGTGTTAACTGCTATTTCCTTTAAAGACATAACTTATATTTAACTTTTTTGATAAGTCTAAATATAACACGAAAATATTAGAAGACTACTTAGTCACGACTTCAATTTAATGTTTTATATCTGGTGGACACATTTATATCTAGATGGTGACCTCAACACCCACTTTCCAATTTCAAGAACGTAATTTTTGGCCAATTTTAGAACAACTTGTTAATAGTCCATTTGGATGTGAAAGATATTTTACCAATGCAGTCATTACTGTATAAATCCTGCCAAGATAAAGTAATAGCTGCAAGCCCTGTATTGAATCATAATATCACGGTATTAAAAAATACAGTGCTGCCTTATTTATAAAATCTGAACCCTGCTGACCTGAACATGTTGCATCATCAGTTTGGATAATTGTTCTCTGTAAATGTCTCTGTTTGTCTCTGCTCGTTGGGAAAACTACAGTTTCTCTAGAAATTTGATAAAATTAAGTGAAACCAGACAGGCCATCGACGGCTCTCTACCTTAACTTGTTTAACATGTTTAACACTCAAAGAGAACTCAGTTTCTTCATGTTGCCACTATTTATTTACTACTTATACTGTTAGCCTTTACATCTACTCAAATATGACAAGATTATAGATTCCATTAGCTACTCAAAAGTGAAGCAAAACTTTGCAGAAACAAAGGCCTGGTTATCATTACAAAACAGAAATCAGTATACAATTGAGGGATTTTCCTGGTTGAAATCGGGCCTGGTTGTTCCCCTGTCATGGGGTCAGATGAAGTCATATACCCAAGTTCGTACTGATGGCATAAACAATTGTAAAAGCACTGGCTGCGTGGAGGTGTAAAGAGGACTTTCATCAGCTTTTCAGTGCTTAACTTTTATACATGTTTCATAATCTAGGTTTGGATCTTGTGTTTGCTCTTTACTAAACTGTGTGCGTGTTTAAGGTCAGCGGTGTGCGTCTGTGAGTGTTCTTACATCTGCGGTGATGGTGTTGCTGAGCGGGGTGATAAAGCCCAGGCGTCCGTCACTCAGTACCACAGCAAAGCCATCCAGGGTCACACAATACTCCATACAACGGATATACACTCCCTCCAGGTCCAGGGAGGGACCACCTACGCACACACATACAGTGTTTGAAGTATTGTATGCAACAATAAGACTGAATCTGGAGCTGAAGTTCAGCAAACCCTAACTAACCCTTGTAACATACACTTTTTATAAATGATTTTTTTAAAGAGAATTCATGTTTGAAAAGTCAACTTTTTAATCATAATGTATTTCCCAACATCAACACCTTATTTATAATTGATTTCCCAACATTAGCAACTGTTTACACTGCCAGCCAGAATCAAGTCAGCCCTCTTCTCCTGTGTTTAGCTATGTGCACAGGTCCTCTCTAACCTCGAGCAGACTGCAGGTCTAGCGAGAAGGGGATTGTAGTGAGGCAGATGGCCTTGCGTCCGTTGCTGCCTAGCCCGTCCCAGTGCAGCACGTGGAGGTAGCCATCTGCGGTACACACCAATAAATCCTCCTGGAGGGACTGCAGGCTGGTGGGACAAAGAGGTAGAAATGAGCATTGAGGTTCAAAGGAAGATAAAACGGTGGAGGGGGTAGTAAAAGAAAACAGCCAGGGGTGGTAGGTAGGTAGGAAGGGTGGGAGCGAGATAACAAACCGCAGTGTGTTAGAAAACAGTGGACCAGTCATCATCCAGCTGCGCCCTCTGAGTGAAGCCTGAAACTTTTACTGGCCAGCTGTGATGAGGCCACATAGATGGCTGTGCCAAGTCTCACTGTCTTCTAATACACAAGGGAACAAACAACTGTGTGTGTGTGTTTGTGTGTAAAGCGCCTCATTGTGTCTAAAACTGGAGACAGCACAATGGGACAACCAACGGGAGTAAAGCAAGAGGCAGAAAGAGAGAAATGAAAGCAAGTTAAACACATTGGACTTTCACTGTGGAGGAGGCAACGACTTCTACTGTAGTTTCACAGCAGGAGACACCCACTCATCTCCTGCACGCTCAAGCTGTGCCTGTGAAATGCCAACGGAGTGCGCTCATTCAGATGACTACCCTATAATCTCTATCAGTGCAGACTGTGGAGGAGATGTGACAGATGAACACAAGCACATGAAGGACGCAGACAATACAAACACAAGATAAACATAAATGTGAACAAAAAGGAAGTCGCGCAGAAAACTGACAGAGTGACAGTTTCTATCAGTCTGAAAATAAAGACGTCGAGTTGGTGGATGTGGGGGAAGGTGGGAAGACTAGGTGAAGAGAGAAACTTAGAAGAAAGAAACTTAAAAAAAAGAACTGAAATTAGCAAAGACTGACTGAAAGGAGGCAGCAAGGAGGAAGTTGACGCTGGTTCTTATCTAAGACTCCAGTGTTTGTTCCTTGGCCTTGGATATTTCTTCTTATTATAATTTGAGGGGCCTAGGTTTTACAAATGAACAATGAACAAGGGATCATTGTGGTCCTTTCTTCACAGGGCACATTAACCTTAAAATAGACCTACATAGAAAATAAGATGATTCAAATAAACTTGCAAAGCTGAGTAAATGCGGTCTTCATAAAGGTGATACTGATTTAAATATTACTAAAATAGTGACAAGCCTTTTCAGAGAAAGCAAAGGAACAAATGGATCCTTATATTGTTTTATTTAGCTGATGCTGAAAGCCAAAACACAAAATAGAAACACCTCATTTAGAATGCGCAATTAATTAAGCACAGTCATGAGGTAACAGGAGAAGCAATCTATTTCATTAAACTGATAACCGAGACTGATGCAATGAAATCTCTAAATACCCAAAATGCATTGTTTATAATCTGAAAATGGTCTAAATACTGTCCAGATGACCATATGAGGCTGATTTGAATGCCCTGGCAACAGCAGTTCCATCCAGCTAACACTCAAAAATGTTCCTTCTGTCATCCTTTCCCTTTCGTCAATCATCACTAAACCCTCCACCCACCTCTATTCATCTGTCCATCACTCACCCCCTTCCATCCCTGCAGATTCATGTGTTTCTCTCTGCAGGCCTCTCTGTTTACAACTGACAGAGTGGAGGAGCTTAGCTTCTCACAGCAGCTCAGCCATCTCTCACTGCCAATGCTGACTTTCCATGGAAGGAGGAAGAGATTTTTTTGAGGCCACTACTCCGAGCCAAATGCCCTTCATAGGTCAAAGAGTGGGTTTAACAGCTACTGCAATTGTGGAAATATAATAAATATCCACAAAAACCATGTAATTACAGGTTAATGTAAGTGGATAATGAATGGCATACCTATATCAAGAATAACAGCATTTTGTTTTGACTTTCAATGCTTTTAGAAGAAGGCATCTAATTTACAAGACTTTCAATTAGTTATCTGAAATGAGAAGAAACTTTTCGTGCATGGAAATGTAAACATTACTGTAGCTATGCACAAGGGGAGGGGTAAAAAAAACAAACATAAAACTGCTGTGCTGTGTGAATATGAAGGGGAAACAGACAGACACAACAGAGATAAAGATAAAAGGACACTAAGACTTCACTCTACCTGGTGATGGGGGCCTCCAGATCCACAGGCTTTTTCATCTCTAAAGACAGAGCGGGAGCACATTGCTCCTCCTTATAACCTGGGGTCACTTTCACACGAGTACTTCCTCTGTGCAAACACACAAATATAGATAGTAGCTTTACTGAAAAAGATCTCACAACATGTCCCAACCTGTCCCGACCTCTGTTGGTATGCTGTCTAGGAATGTAAAACACACACAGCAACACACACGGAAAAAGCATGCGGAAACCCCTATGAGCATTGTTTTGTTGGAGTTGTTCCGATACCAGTAGCAGAAGTTCCTCCGATACTGCCTAAAATGCGGTATGGGTGAGTACACGGGACCTTGCTTTCCTTCCAACAGTGTCCCATTCTCCATTTTCTTTCCCAGAATAGCAAAGTTGTGACCAGCCCTACTCTGACAAAGGTTTTAACCTGAGTCAGGCCATACAACAATGATTGCAATCATACAGGCTTAGTAGTATACTTGCGTATAAACTATAAAGTCATTATAAAATAATAACTGTATCTATTTGATAACGCACACGTATCAGATCGGTACTTTGTATCGCCCGATATGCAATTTCTGGTATCATAATGTTAGCGTAACACCTCTCTCAAGTTTTGTGCACTTTTGGTCAGGAGCTGTTTGGAAAGCCTCCCATCTCATCGTCATTCCCTAATCACATATATGTTATGTTGTACTTTTGGCCATGTAGTGTATTTTGTCACAATGGAAATTCATTAGTAGCTGCAGCAATTATTGGCTAAAATGTCACTATCTGCTTGTATCAACCCTATAACCACAGTATATTATTTCTTACACATTGGGTCATGAGCAAGCACAACATTACATAAGAGGATTTAGTAGTAAAGTGCTCTTATATTCCTACTAACATTGTTTGCCAGCTGCACTGACAGACAGCTGCTGGCTACAAGCTAACAAGACTCTGCCGGGTTCACACTATAACGAGGACCATGACACTCTATTTCAAAGATGAACTGCAGCACGCAAACAGCCCCAGCGGGGATAGCAGGGCTAATATTGGAATACCCGCTGTTTTAGTTGATCAATTCAAGCGTTTTGTACACACAATACTGCGTTTTCACAGTTGATACAGTAGGAATTAAAGATTGATGTAACATGCGTAATAATGATTGTTAAATTGATCTTTAAGGGACAAATTATTTTAAGATTGTGTAGATTCCCTGCAAGCTTGGCTCTTTCTGCTCGGTTTCCCTCTGCATGTTCTCTGTGTGAGGGTTTGTATCTGTGTTGCACTCACCTTGGATAGACAGGCTCATAGAGGTACTTGTCATCCCCTCCACCCAGCACATCAAACAAGAGGATATAGCCTTTGGCGGTCTGAAAACAGACAGAAAGGATTGGAATTAGAAAAATAATTACTCAGCCACTATTTTGTTATCAGACACAGACAGAGAGAAAGAAGTGACAGACACTGAGAACACATAAATAACCACAAAATGTTTGAGAAAAGGGAGGAGAAACTGTTAACATGGAAAAGGATGAAAATGAGAATTTAAAAGTACATTTTAATTTTATTATTTGAATGTCATCACAAATGTGTCACTGGTTGCCTTTTTAGGCAGCAAGAGAGAGAAATATTAAGAGGACAGGAGGGAAGAAACAGGGTTTACCAGTAAACAAAAACATCATCTGTTGCCATCACAGAGGACACAGGGAAACAGAGTGTGCTTATGACTGCATATGGTGTGTGAAGCTGCATTCAGACTGAAAATGCCACTTAAATATGAACTTTCACATAGATTGTTGGCTGGCGTGGCCAGACACATATGTGGGTCTAAACTACTGGTGCAGTTACTTTAGTTGATGATAGGTGGTGCAGATTTGACTGAAGCTGCAGGTCCACATCCACAGGGCTGACATTGCAGTCACTTTAATTTTGTGGTATTGAGGTGACAGCTTCATATCCTTCATAACCTTCTAAGCATGCTGCTATCTGAGGAAAACAACATTAGAACTATACTGTTTGATGTGATGGTGTCTGTTTTGGAGTCGATCCATTCATTATTTTCTGACATTTTATAGACCAAATAATTAATTGATAAATCTAGAGCAGCCCTAAATTACTATAAGACAATGATTACTTGGCAGAGACTGTCAGTAAGGAGTCTTGATGAGTATTTTATGTTAATTTTTTCCCTTTATCTACTAGGTATAAGCTATATATGGATAATATTTGCAACACAACTACTGTCAGCTCATTGTCAAGATATTTGTATGCACAGGGAATAGCGCTTGATATTTTCCTCTCCTGCACAATCCTGAATAGGCTGAGCTGCCAGTTGATCATCTTGAAAACTGAATACATTGGTTAAAAAAAACTGCATTTGTATAAGTCAATTTAGCTTTTTATTGTGTACCGACATCAGCTCATTCAATATATTTACAGGTCTAAACTGCTGCCATTACTGATAATGTCGAACAAAAATAAAAATTGTCAGCATTTTAGAAGAGTTAAAAAACACAGGCTCCATTCTGTGGAGAAGCTCACACTATCTATAATGTCAAAATCTTTTTATATATTATTGTACGCAAGTACAACATTGCAATAGTGCTTTTTCCACAACCACACACACACACACA